CTTTCTCTCCCTCGTTGCCTTTGCTTCTCGACCGACGTATTTTATTCCGAGACAATCGAGTCGAGTCGTTTAAGCACTCCTGCCGCGGAGAAGATTGCGAAATGGGGCGCGGCCGGTCACCCGGATTCTCGAGTGCAATCCGAAACGTTCCGGACGACTTGGAGATCTTGCGCGCCGAAATTTTGCGTTTATCCACGTAGCGGTGGAACTGGTTAAGATAGAAAAGAGAGGAGATGGTGCAGTGAATCATTCCGTGAGCATAAATTAGCGGGTCGTCGCAACGCCGGTTAATTAATTAAGGTAAATTGTCCTAAGCGTAAGTAACTGCTGGCGCCTGGGTCACTCCTCTCTACGGTTCTCCACCTCTTCCTGGATAACCAGTACTCTCTTCGAGCTGTCTGGCTGGGAGATGAGTTTCCGGAAGACCGGTTCCTCCGTCGCGGTTTTCTCTTCTCGTCGTTTGACATCGCCCTTTTTGGCCCATTGTCTCTCCTTCTCTCTCTCTCTCTCTCTCTCTCTCTCTCCTCTCTTCTCTTCCTCTTCCCTCTCTCTCATTTTCTCGTCTTTCTCTCTTCACGCTGGAGACACCAGGGTGAAAATATATCTTTTCGAGAAGAGCCAGCTCTCTCTCTTTGAGATTTATGGCCAAGGCGCCCCGTTTCCGCCACGAAGAAGTTCATCCTACGCGCTATTTTGTCGCACATTGATCGAACACGTTGAAATATTGTATTTGAAAATATTACAAATTAGTTTAACAGGTTGAAAGTGGAAAATTTGATGGAAATTTCGAAGCACCTTCGCTCCCCTGTCTGTCCACTCCACGATCGGAAAATTTCGTATCGTGAAACATGACAGATTAATATTGCAAATTTCCAAACAAAAATTTTAATTAAAAATTTCATTCCTTTTTCTGTTCGAAAATTGGGTGCATGTTCACCATTGCCTACCATCCCGCCCCAAAATTTTCTGCCTGGAATGAATGTCCTGAATATTTGACGAGTTGTCATACATTTCCTCTCAGTTTCATTTTTATCCATATTTCAACGTTAAAATACTGTATCGCAAGTATTATAACATCATACGGCTATAGTTGTAACTCGTTATTCATGAGGTCGTGACGAATTGCATCAATATGTAATATTATTAATTCTACGTTAGTCTGATGAATTTTTGAAAATTTGAAGAATTGTTACATTCACACTGCATTCTTTCAAAGCCTCAAATCACTGAAATCTCGTCGATGGATCTGAAAATGGGAGAAGTTTAACGTTGATAAGTTGAGATAAGCGGAGGATCTTTAATTTAAGTAATAGAATGAAAATTATCGCGTTAACTTTGTCAGATCTCACCACACTAATGCAGGATTAATTAACGCATGATATTCTCGAGAACTTCTTCCCGCTGAAGTTTCCGTGCGTAATTTCAAATCTACTCGAATTTGCTCGCGGTTGCGCCTTAAATTTTGCACAGTCGGGGGTTGCAAGTTTTCGCAAACAACCGTGGAAAAATTAAATATGTAACGAGCGCTAGGTGTGGAGGAACTTTTCGCCCAACTAATTTCCCTAAACTGACACGAATAAGAGTTGGCGAACGTTTCGACGCGCGCTGTTACATTATTTACGTATAAATAGTTTGTGTCGCTGTTAGGGCAGCCGCGTGGTTTTTTCTGAATTTTAAACGGACACCGGTAGCAACCGTGTAACGCCTAACTTGCCGCAAGGAATTATTTAACTTTTAAATTGATTAATTTACATTCTCCCCCGGTCGCTTATGTTTACGTGGAAATTGTTCGGCTCGAGGTGAAGTTTGAAACAGCCATTCCGCGTTTCAAGTCGAAGCTTTTTCAACGGGGTAAATCATTTTTCCGCGAGTCGAGAAGCTTGCGAAATTTTCGATCAGTCGGAGAAAATCTTAGACTCAAACGACTGCCAATCGCGTGATTATTTATGCAGCTAGACACCGAGCTCTGCTTTAACTCAGTGTTCTCGTTTGAACGCGACGAGATCAGGCTTCGGCGCCACTGTTTATGCTACTGAAACCAGATGTTTGATTCACAGGCCAGTTCAAATGTGCTACTCTATTCGAGAAACCAACTAATATCACACGTACCGGCTGGACGTGCGGGTAAATACTGCTTATTATCCCCTGGAACTGTCAACCGATGGAAAACATCATTTTGTACACCTACGCTACTCTTAAACTTCGCTCTGTCTCCTCTAAATTTAGATCTATCGTTGATTCTTCATTATCCGCTGAAATTAATTCTTTTCTCAAAGGCAACTTTATTCTTTTCCCACAAAAATAGTTGAAAGGTTGATATCTCTGTCACGCTTAATCGAATTGCTCGATTGAAAAAAGATCGAGTGTGTCGTTACACCGAACGACCGTAGTGTTCGAAAAAGGGAAGTTTTTGGTCAGCCAAAGTTCCGATTTAATTAAAGCCGGTAGACGTGATTACGCGGTCTGCAGTGCGAACCATTTGATTCGATTTTATCTTTTAATTGTACACCGCGATACAAAGAAGCGTTCGGTGGTTAAATCGTTGGAGCTAGTGGAACGAACGAAAGGAGGAAAGGCGATAGGGAAAAATTGTCAAGCGTGTTTTCTCCGACGCAGATTTAACGGAAGCACTTATGCAGCCTGGTACATTTTCAAATGGCCCCGTTGCTCTGCGGTCGCGAGCGTGCGCGCACGTTTATGGCAACACGTGTGTGTCATAAAGCGGGTGTTTCCTCAAAAAAACATGGAAACGAGGACGGACAGGCTGGTGTTGTTTCGAAAGTGAATTCATCTCTGATGCGTGTCGCTCGTGGATCTTCGGCGATTCTTTTTCCGACGAAGAAGAAATAAAAGGGAAGTGAAAGGGGAATTAAAGCCTTTGAAGATATTCAACCCTTCACGTTGGAATTCGTCCAAATTATTTGTTTAATTTATCAAGAAATTCTTGTATACGAAGAATCGGTGATTCTGAGTTACTGAAAATATTTTTCTGTGGAGGAGAAGCTAATTTCTTCGGAGGAGAGACAATGGAAACGGTTGTCTTTAAATGTTAACGAGTCAAGAGGAAACGACGACGTCGGGAATCGAGAGAATTCCTTAAGGAACAAAGCGGTTGCGTGGGGGTTTTTAAGCAAACATTCAATTTCACGGTGGACCGCATGACTAAATTGTCAAAATTGCCACGATCACAGGAGAAACGCGAACGACGTCCACGTAATGGAATATAGCAGCAGAAATTTAATTCTGCTTTACAAATCCTCGGCGCGCAGTTGGTGTGGACAATTACGAGGTAATTGTTAATACGAGATGCAATTTTCTGTAGAGGCCGCGCGTTTAAACTCTCGTGCACGCTTCATCTGTTCTTCTTTCCATCGCGGAACGTCGCGGAAATTTATCGGTAATAAATTAGAAATTTTCAAATGTTCAAGCGTTAAAATCTTTAAATATACAAATTTTCAAATATTCTAATCTTTTAAATATGGAGATTTTCGAATATTCCAACTGTCAAAGTCCCGAATTAAACCCCCAGGCAAAATTCTTGAAAATTCCACAGTCCAAATGGAGTTCGAATTCTGTAATTCCACATCCATAATTCCGTCAATCTGTCAGAATTGACCCAGCCGGAGTCTATTTTTAAAAGAACGCTCCATTGTCTGCTTTTGCAGCACGAAAACAGATTCACGGAGCACGTTGGATGTTTTCGAACGATCTCGATTGGCCAAAGAGGCGACGAGCATGGAGCGATGGGCCTGGCCAGCTCGTTAACGCGTCCGCGTTCAATCGAATTGAGCATCACGTCGATTAAAATTCGCTACATTAATTATCCAGCGTTAGATTGTAACGCGAAACGCGGTTAATTGACGGCGAATAGAATTTCGAATATTGCAACGTTGGGACTGCCTTACCGTCCGTGACAAAATCCATCCGACAAAGAGAAAATATCTAATTTCATCTTTTAAATATCCTCCATCTAGATATACCAAATTAAATATACCAATTTAAAATCTTCGATTGTCTTACTAGGACCACTGTGACATTTAACTTGTGACATTCAAGGATATTCGAGTGTATTTTAAATCGATGAAATACAGATATCACTTTTGTACCGGGATATATTTATCTAGAAGAATTCGATCGTTCTCAAAACACAATTATCGTCCGGAATATTCTGTCCCCTTTGTTGTGCGTTACGTAAACAGATACAGTTTTTGCAGGTGGAGGGGAAGAAAAAACATTTTTGCCGTTCTAAAATTGTCTCGTCACACAGTGTGAGACGCGAGCGGAGTTGAAAGAATTCTTAAAGAGATGGAGATGGCGACGCCTAGGCGGACAGCCAGGGAGATTTGTGGGGAAAGTTCGGCAAAATTGAGACGACTCGAGGCTTGATGAGCGTATCGTGATTTATGCGGTTCATTTCTCAGGTGGGATTGTCAGAGTTCATATCGCGGAACGAATGCCACGAACTTTCCACGATTTTCGTCTCGAACAATAAATTACCATTCTCTGAATATATTAGCCTTCCACATTTCCACGCTGTACTCGTTCAAATGTACGCTTGAAAAAAGGAAAGGAAGAAGGTAACGTATATCAGATTTTTCATCTTAAATTTCACCCGCGGGAAAGACATTGATACGTCGCTGACGCGGACACTAATATAGCTAATGAATCTACTAAAAGCTTGTATCGAATTTCGGATAAAGTTACACTTCGCGAAAGTTTTCCTCCGCGTATCAGAGCACTAACTGGGAACTTTTCACGTAAAATTCAACTGTAAATCATTCTGCACTTCTTAAGCCTGTTATATTTTCCGTTCAAATATTACGCGGAGGAGTGGACGGTTTGCAGAGGGTATCACGTGAAAATTCCATCGACCACCGGTGCAAATTCCAAAAACGCCGCAAGTCCCTCTTTTCCCCAATATCCGCGTGGTGGAAGAGAAATAGGCAAAAGGGTGGAGTAACGCAGCGAAAAAGAGAGTAAGGTGACGATCGAATACCAACCGGAGAGAATCGTGACAGGCAGCGCAGCGCAGATGCCCAAATACACCAGCAACACTGTCCAAGTGTGACGCTGCTTCTGGCATCGGTCCAGCTTTTTCCCGCTCGCTAGGCCACCGATTCTTGGCCCCATCATCGTGCCTCGTGCCGCATAGTTTTCGCCCTGGCCACGTAAACGCGAACTTCACTGCCGGATTAGTCTCCGGGAACTTTAATAACGCCACCACCTCCACGGTGGCTTCCTTCCTTCCTCACTTCCTTCCCGTCTTCTTCCTGTGTACACGCGTAACGTGGGACCTCGCAATGATCTCCCGGTGAACCAACTTTTCAGCACTAACATTCCACTATTCGCTATAGAAATGCGATACACTCGCGGTAACGTGAAAGTTTTCAACTTTTTCTCGTCCTCGTATTGTCAACACTGGAATGTACATTTCACACGAACGCACTGTATACACACACGTACTGTGATCGTACGGTAGGTTGCACCCGGTAGATTTCAAAGCACAAGAAACACTTGCTCCTCTTTTATTTACGGTACTGCAGGTTTTGTTCGCGCGGCACGATAAGAGATAAGAGAAGCTGGTCCAATGGATATGTTAACACTTGGCACGTGACATTTTTGCGTGGAACTCGAGAGATAAGGGTTCATTTACCTAAGGATAGACTCACAGGCGAAAGCTTGAGCATATAGTCTGGTGGGAAATGTAGAGGCTTCCTTCGGCGTGGATTCTTGTAGCAAAAACGTTGCTTCCGTAGTATATAATAGCTTTTTTAACTGCAGTTTTATCTCCCGACAACGTGGTAGAGGTTGGTCGTGATGTCTCGATGAGATCGAGGCTCTAGATCAGCATGGTTGAGAATGGTCGTTCTGAAAAATGGAGTTGTTAGATATTCTTCAACGATTTTTCTATCTTTCCTTATCTTTCGTTTATTCTAGAAGAGAGAGGGAGAGACACGCAGCAGCAGAGTGTTTCAACGAAAAATACGAAATGTTTGAATTTAATACGTGACCAGTGATCGCGAAGTTAATTGAATCTAAACGTCTGTCGTGGAAATTGAATGATAATACCGCGGGAATAAACCGGTGGACGGATTTTGAGTCGTCGCTACGGATTAGTCCGACGAATCGTCCTCAACGAGAAGCAACGGAAAATTATTCCCATTCGATGAAACCATTTCGACGCCGAGCTAAAGAAGAGAGAGAGAGAGAGAGAGAGAAAAGAAGAAAGGACCGCCTTTATTCAACAATATCCCAACGAATATCTATTAATCCTGTACATTCCACGGAATGTGAATTCAACCCAATGAAAATACCCGCAGCAGAGACACGCTTCTCCCTTTCCCGAAACGTAGTCGGTGTAGTCTTTGAGAAATGAAACGAAACCAGTGGCCTGATAGAAAGAGCTCTAACCAGCACTCTGATGCCCATAAATTAATCCAGTTCGCCTCGAACTGGAATCCTTGTGCATTTATTGCCCGGGCGCGCTAAGTGGCCGGGTGAAAACACGGTTTACCGACGGATCAACTCCGGCTGAGTTCGAATTAAAACGGATCCAAGTAGGTAATTACATCGTCTTAATTAATTCTTCAGACTGTAGCGCCTCCTCCACCACCACCCCCACGCTCCTCCTTCGCGCGCCTTGTGGCGTCAACACGAACATGGGGCGACGAGTTGTTACGTTGAGAACGACGTTGAAATTATTCGCCTGGAGAATGGAGCGTTTCGTCACCGAAACGTTAAATTGCACGTGCAGAGAACGATTTCGCGAGGGTTTTGCGCCTGTACACGCGACGATTTCGTGCGTGACTACGGATAGAAGGAGCAATAAAGTCATCCTCAACGACGTTGCTCGCCTTTTTCTCTTTTTCGTTTTTCCTATTCGTACGCGACGTCGGAATTGATTTCACCGAATGGAAATTGCGTTTTGTTTGCGCGCGGAGAAACGGGAAGTGGGACACGTCGAACGACAGGTTTAATCGTTATTCGTGAGAGATATAAATTACGAAACTCCTCGATCGTGGAAGATTTGTAACGAAAGCTGTTCTTTTTTCCGTTTTTTTTTTTCGCTGCTTTGCTGTTTTTAGAGGAATCGTAAAAATTTCCACGTAAGATTCGAAGTTTGAAGCGGCAGTGGAAAGTACTGTAGCAAAAGTGCCGCCACGATGGCGCAACTTTTCGACCAAGTTTCTATAAATACGGTCATTTGTCACTCATCGAGGGGTGCACGAGCACTAGAGAGCCATAAATCATCGTTGATTTAGAACGGGAAATGGTTGAAAAAGAAGGGGGCGACGGTGTACAGAGAGTACATCGAAATTTGATTTACTATATCGCCGGGGGGTAGTTTCTCTGACTGTCTTATATTTATTTGAGAATGTCGTCGTCAGAAAAATTACGCCGCTGCCAGTCGGAGACGCGACGCCGTCTGGGGACATCGGTGGATCAATTTTTTAAACCACGCCACGAAACTAAGAGAGATAGAAGGGGTCTAGGCGGAGAACAATGACGTTGCTGATGCGAGACAGCCGGTCGCAAATTATCCCTGCGAGGTATTATTAATTAATGGGCTTGTTAAGTCGCGTCGCGTGAAGAGATGCGCCAAGTTGGACACCCCAAGGGCTGTGTCACTTGCCAATTTCCTCTGTACTATCAGATTCATTCGCCTGCTGTACATTCTCTTCCCCCCCGTAACAATCCAACGAGAACATACAACAAAAAGAGAAAATTAATTAAACCTCTGTAAGAACTAATGAAAATCCCGAAGAATAGTTTAATCAAAAATTCAACCAACCCTGTTTACTGAATCTGGCAAAAATGAAATTACTCGTTGAAATTCTGTGGTACGGGAAATTTCAAAGAGAACACTATTATCCCGAGGGGTATATTTCAGAAAATTTAAACGCCTTTATACGAAATGTGGAGCGACACTGAATGCGTTGAAACGAAATTGCAAACGGTCTAGAACGGCGAATACCACCACCTCGAGAACGAACGTTAACGCAATTTGAAAAGGTAAATTCCCGCAGTTTCCGCCGTGGGTGGCAGAGTTGCGTTTTAAACGTACGACCCGGCGCGGCGGCTGAAGATACCCGAAGACGGAAAGGTGGGTGGGAATTACGCGTTGCACAGGTGCACAACGGCAGGAGCGTTAAAGCTGGAGAACACGTAAATCGCTAGGCGGATACGCGAGGAGGCTACCGTCGTGAATGTGTCGTCCGCGCGTATTCTCGCGTGAATTAAAATTCAAACGCTCGGCTGACCGTGGTGGCTTGGTTCACCAGGGAACCGGGTGAGAAAAAATTCCAACGAACGAGAGAGACTAATGTCTCGGCAATAAATTCCTATCGCTAAATTTTAATCCCTCCCACTCGCGCGTTTACCCCGAGTTTTATATCTCGACGTCGATATCGCGCTCGATATTTTCACGAAAAAATTACCTCTGACCTTTTCGTCAGACAGAAAAACATTTCCCAGGGACTGGAGGAATTTGTTTACGAGTTGTTAGAATTTGGGTACCTTCGTTGCACTCCCGCTTTTCCTTTTTTGTTTTTGTGCTTAAAATTGGAATGTGAAGAATAGAGGGGAGGTAATTGGAATTTGAACGCGGAGATACAGGATCGTTACAGTTTCTTTCGGACCACGAAGAAGGGGTCTTTTGAAATGAGAATAAACGCGCGGGGAAGAAAGAAAAGGGCGCCGACGGAAAAGGCGAGCCCCTGGTTTTCGCGGAACAGCGTATCCATTGGAACGGCCGGCCGCTCGTCAAAAGCTGTCAAATCTCGCGGGATCTCCTCTCGCCGTGCTATTTATAGAGGATTCTGGTTGACGGTGGAGGCTCGGTTGCGCGGCAGCTCGCGCGTGCATCGTTCCTGCATTAGCCCTCTTCGTTTCTTCCAGCTTCCTCTCTGCTCTTCCGTGTAGCGCCGCCTTTCGAGTGGAGCGGGCTGAGCAAAGCCCTTCTGTCCGGGCGTACACATAATTACCAAAGTTAATTAGGGCTTTGGAGATGAAAGAGAGTGAGAGAAAGAGGGAGAGGAGGGTGGGCTAGGATGGTGGCGTGGTACGAATTTAAGGATGTATTAGCGCGAGACAGCGTTAAAACGCTGTGAAACGACGAAGAATCGAAAGGGTTTCCCTTGATTTGCGACTGGCCCTAGTTTCAACTGAACGAAAAGGGGAGGGACGATGCACCCGGAAGTGTGCTCCCTTTCAAAAGGGGAGAAACACTACGGAATTAAAAAGATGCGGAAATTCAATTCCTATCCTTCGCTATCGCAACACGAATAGTAAAAAGCAAAAAAGTGTACCCTGTCTCGTTGAATCTGCTAAACGCCCAGAAGCTGCGCAAACAGATGAAATACCATTTGAAAGTCACTGGCAAGTACTTGATGTTCCGAAACGGGGGTGGAAAAGAGAAATGAGAACGAAGGGGTGAACGTTCATTCTACCGCGTAAATTTCACTTTTACCCGCGAACGACGATTTTTTATTTCGATCCTCGGTGTTTTCACGGCGAGTGCGTTTCAACGTGAGCCTGTGTTTGCACAAAGAACCGCTGTTGCATGGGTGGCGCGCGGCTTCACCCTTCCACACCGCCAATTTTCCCCTGGCTCACCCCTATTTCACCAGGCAGAGCACCATCGGGTCGTCACCCCTGCACACCACGTTTCCAACTAACCTCCCCCTTTCCACTAGTCGCCACTTGAGCACTCGTGCAATTGGTTTTTCGTGTACCGAGGCACTCCTCGTGTCCTCGGAATCCTAATTTCGCGTTTTTCATTCGTGCCTCGCTCGTCGACGTCCCGTGTAAAACGAAGAGACGGGATCTACCACCTCTAACGGCCCTATCCGACGGATATCGCGATTTTTTCTTTTTTTTTTTTTGCGGCCAGAGTGACCAGAGAAATGGAATGAAAACGTCCTGCTGCTGGTGGCTTGATAGGGGAATCGATGATATCGTTCGCTCGTTATTCTCCATGAGGAAAAAGGGATAGGTACTGTACAATCCTTTACATCTACACTAACGATTTGAGATTTAAAGTTATTATGCGTTCAAGGTAAACTCACGTTAACCCTTTTCTATGTTTGACAGCACTGTAATCTACTTTCCATATGTTTTGAATTATCTAATAAAAATTCCATAAAACCATAAAAATTCAAGATGAAA